TATGCTCATGGATTCTGTGGGCCAGGGATTTAGACAGGGCATGGAGAAGTGAGCTTGTCTCTGCTCCGCAGTGGCTGAGCCTCCCGTGGAAAGACTTGAAGTCTGGGGCCAGAGCGATGTGGAAACTCCTTCCCTCACCTGTACGGCCCTGGGGTGAATGACTTGAAGACAGAATTACCGATTGCTAACTTGGCCTCTGCGGCTTGGCCTCCTCTCATGACTGTGGTAGTCAGACTCCTTACGTGGTGTCTCAGGGCTTCCAGTGCAAGGGTTTAGAAACCCAGTGAACTGCCCCACCTTTTAGGGTCAGCCTCCGGAATCACAGAGCATCACTTCCCCTCTGCTCTGTTGGCTGAGCAGTCACAAGCCCACTCAGGTTCAAGGGGAGGGGAGACAGACCTCACCTCTCAATGTCAAAGGACTTAGAGGCCTTGTTCAAAACCGCTACAAACCTGGGGGTAGGTGATGCACTAATGACAAGGGTCCTGTTCCATTCCCGGGGGTCAGAGACAGCACAAGGGGAGGGTTGCCTACTCCCTTCTCTCTCTGCTTTGGAAAATGTTGGGTCCATGCAGTGTTGGTGGGCGCCCTGGAGCAGGCCTTTGAATCTCAAGCGCATATCATTACACCAACTATACTTAAGTAATCCGTTAACCCGTTATAGCTTTATGGGGGTAAAATTAACATACACTAAAGTGGACATACTTAAAATGGACAATTGGATATTTTTTACTGTGTAAATACGCCAATGGTAAGATCATCAACATTTCCATCAGCCCCCAAAGTTTCCTTGTGCCCTTTATTAACCAGTCCTCTGTCCCTCCCTGCATTTTCCCTCCCTAGGAACCGCTGATCTGTCACTAGATAGGTCTGCATTTTTTAGAGTTTTATATGTATGGACTCGTATAGTATACAGTATATACTCTTATTGGTCTGGCTTCTCTCACTCATAGTTATTTTGAAATTCATGCACGCTCCCGTGTGTATCGTGTTAGTTTGTTCCTTCTTACGGCTGAGTCGTGGTCCGTTGTGTGGATAATCCGCTCACCTGTTGATTGACATTCGCATTGTTTCCAGTTTTTGCCTAAAGCAAATGAAGCTGTTACGAATATTTGTGTACAGCCTAAGGGCAAGGTTGTGCAGAGAAAGAACTTACGTCCTTGAAAAAGATTTATTTCAGGGACCAGAATAAATGTAAGGAAATCGGTGTCCTAAATGAGATGCGAGAAGGAAAATAGGACTTTTAAGAAGCCCAAGCCAGAGGACTACAGGATGAGATGTAAAAACAATCAGCTTAAAAAAAGGGAACTAGCCCGGACGGGTGTGGCTCAGCCGTTGAGCGTCAACCTAGGATCCAGGCGATCAGGGTTCGATTCCCCAGTCAGGGCACATGCCCAGGTTGTGGGCTCGATCAATGACTCTCTCATCATTGATGTTTCTGACTCTCTCTCTCCTTTCTTCTCTCTGAAATCAATAAAGATATATTTTTTTTAAAAAAACACAAAAAACAAGGGAACCTGATGAGACAATGAAAGCTCATAAAGCTAGTTTGCTGTAGCAGAATTAAAGTCCACAAGAGGCCGTCCCAAGCACAGATGACATCACACCTTTGAGTTAGTAAAGTGGAAAATAAATGTGAGATGCCTCCTTAGGAGGCAAAGGAAAGAAAGAAGAGATTGGTGAGAAATAAAGTGATAGAAATTGTTATAGAAAGTGGAAATCCAATCTGAGAATCTCTGGAGATTTAAAGTTAGAATAGGGGCATTGATCAAAGATTTATAATGAATGAAGACTTTCCGGAACATTTAAAAAAAAAAATCTCCGTGTACAGGATAAAAGGCTTACTGTGTTCTGGTCAAAATTAATATACATAGCCCCACAGTTATTTATTCTGGCAAAATTTGTGAATTACAAGAGTAATGAGAAAAGTTATACGAGAACTCCAGCAGACAAAACAGGTTACTTAAAAGAAGTGAAAATCTGGCAGGTCTCAGAGTTGTCTGTGATACTACGTCCCTAAAGACCGAGGAGCCAGACCTCGGTGTTGGGATGAAGAATGGTTGCCCTCGAAGATCTGACACCGAGACAGATCGTTGTTCAAATGCGAAGGCATCTGAAAGGTGTTCTTAGATATGGAAGAGCTGAGACACTGTGCACCCAACCCGTTCCTCTTCTAGGAAGAACGTCTCTAAGACAAAACTACAGTTGCTTCCGAGCTGATGCAGAAATGATGAGGTTAGATTTGGGGAAGTCATGAGATAGAGCTGATGGTTGAAGCTGGTTTCATGTAGAGTTAAGCTCCATTGATGCAAATATAGTTCATGGAACGTAGTAATTGAGAAATTCAGAGAAGGTCAAAGACCTAAATGTTAGAGCTAAAACTATCACACGCTTAGACGAAAACACGGGTGTAAATCTTTGTGACCTTGGATTAGGCAGTGCTTTCTTAGATATGATAAGAAACCAAAAATATGTGGGTCAATTGGACTGCATCAGAATTCAAAACTTGGATGCTTTTAGTTTTGTGCAAAAGCAATGAAATAGAAACGTTTGCGTTCCCAGTCCGCAGAATGGCCTGCCCTCCTTGCAAAGGCCGAGAAATTTCTGAGCCGTCTGGAGTTTCTTGTGCTTCCTTGTCAGAGATGAAAGACCATCTGCCTAAAGAAACAATACCCAGGGTCCCA